ACATATAGTGAAAATCAATGACCCCCGGGGCGTGGCCCATTTTGACCCCAGGGCTATAATTTGAACAATCTTGGTAAGGGTCTATCAGACAATGCCTTATGCAAAATATCTAAGCTCTAGGCCTTTTGGGTCTTAACAAGAAGTTATTTTAAGTTTTTACTATATGTACATATAGTGAAAATCAATGACCCCCGGGGCGGGGCCCATTTTGACCCCCAGGGTTATAATTTGAATAATCTTGGTAGAGGTCTACCAGACAATGCCTTATGCAAAATATCTAAGCTCTAGGCCTTTTGGGTCTTTACAAGAAGTTATTTTAAGTTTTTACTATATGTACATATAGTGAAAATCAATGACCCCCGGGTTGGGGCCTATTTTGACCCCAGGGTTATAATTTGAACAATCTTGGTAGAGGTCTACCAGACAATGCCTTATGTAAAATATCTGAGCTCTAGGCCTTTTGGGTCTTTACAAGAAGTTATTTTAAGTTTTTACTATATGTACATATAGTGAAAATCATTGACCCCCGGGGCGGGGCCTATTTTGACCCCAGGGTTATAATTTGAACAATCTTGGTAGAGGTCTACCAGACAATGCCTTATGCAAAATATCTAAGCTCTAGGCCTTTTGGGTCTTTACAAGAAGATTTTTTAAATTTATTCTTATAATTCCTTTTGGTTGCCATGGCAACCAGATTTCTGCATGGAATGAAATTCTTTGAACAACTTTGGAAGCCCTTCACCCAAGGATCAATCCTGCCAAGTTTGGTTGAAATTGGACAAGTGGTTTTTCACAAGAAGATTTTTTAAGTTCACTATATAATCTATATAACACACACACACACACACAAACAAACACACAGGTGAATCGCTATATGCCACCGCATCGCAGATGCTGCGGTGGCATAAAAATAAACAAAGGGCAATAACTTCAAAATAAGGCAAGGCAAGTTAATGATTCTTAAGCACTGCACTTCCATCCAATGAAGTCCTATCTATCTACAAAGTTTCATGTTGATATCTCTTATAATTTTAGAGTAATGTCCCGGACAAAGTTCAAAGTGTCAAAAAGAACAAAGGGGAATAATTCAAAAATTAGGCAAGGCAGAGTTACGGTTCTTGTGCACTGCACACCTACTCAATGAGATCTTTCTACCTACAAAATTTCATGTTGATACCACTTATAGTTTTAGAGTTATGTCCCAGACAAAGTTCAAAGTGTAAAATAAACAAAGGGGGATAATTCAAAAATTAGGCAAGGCAGAGTTACAGTTCTTGTTCACTGCACACCTACTCAATGAGATCTATCTACCTACAAAGTTTCATGTTGATACCTCTTATACTTTTAGAGTTATGTCCCGGACAAAGTTCAAAGTGTAAAATAAACAAAGGGGGGTAATTCAAAAATAAGGCAAGGCAGAGTTACCGTTCTTGTGCACTGCACAACTTCTCAATGAGATCTATCTACCTACAAAGTTTCATGTTGATACCTGTTATACTTTTAGAGTTATGTCCCGGACAAAGTTCAAAGTGTAAAAATAAACAAAGGGGAATAATTAAAAAATTAGGCAAGGCAGAGTTACGGTTCTTGTGCACTGCACACCTACTCAATGAGATCTATCTACCTACAAAGTTTCATGTTGATATCTCTTGTTGTTTCAAAGTTATGTCCCGGACAAGAAAAGGGGACGGACGGACGGAAAGACGGACGGACGGACAAGGCGGCGACTATATGCTCCCCTGAAATTTTTTCGGGGAGCATAACAAATCAAAGCACTGAATGTACTGATGGGGAGGCTATGAGAGAATGTTTCAGACTTATAGTTTCTTTTCTTTTTGCTTAAAATATGCTACCAAAATAAAAAGATATGCACATTGCGCTATTTATCCTTACTGTTGTGTTCAACCATTCATATATATGGTTAATGAGGTTGACTATTCATTTTGTTAATATTCCAGAACATTTAATTAAGGTCTACATTCGGACTGTTAATCATGCAAATTTTGAAAAACCTAAACTGTCAATAATAAATGACATACCAGCAAGTATGACGACTGTTCATTATCAGATAACAATAACATTTTACAACTGACGGTTCCTTATCAAAATATTCTAGGACTGTTCATCATAAATATTTTATGTCATTTTAATATTATTGAATGATAATAACAACTGCAGTGATGCAACATTTTTATTGAACATAAAAATTATACACGTTTAGATGTACCATAATTGAGATCAATAAGATACTGTCTTGTGATGAGTATTAACATTCATGCTCTACGGACAGAAGGTTGTCTTCTTCAGAAGCAAATCTCGAATAAAATCACGTTTCAGAAAATTAATCCCATTTCATTACTGACGGCGTCGGATAATATTAAAGCTAAATATTTCTTGAAAAAATACATCTCTGCAAAGCTTATTCAAAACTGAATCAACCTAAGTGAAAATTGATCAGGAAGTTATATCTTCTTTTTTTACCGCCAACACTCAACACTCAACCAACTTATGGTAGTTAATCGATAGATTCTACGTGTATTTTTAAACCTCACTAGCTTGAAATATATACTGCGGAAAATCTGTTGTTAACAGGATGTGCGGTTATTACGTAGTTGTTTTCGCACTGGTCTCAAATATCGACATTAAGACCGGTGAACACAATGATTATGACGAAGGGTTTTCCCTGTCGACCATTTCCCGCATTCAGTGCTATGAATGGTGTTATAAATGGCGTGTTTTGGAAGTTTTTGTTGAAACTTCTCCAAATACCTCCAGAGGCGTGCACGTCGCGGAGAAGGCACACGGAAGGTCATAGTCAAGTCATCATAAGTACCAGAGGTGATTGGTTGACCTGTCGTGACTTACTCTGGAGGTTTGGCGCTAATAGATGCCGTTTTTGTTGTCGTCAGTCAGAAAGTTGATGCCTTGACGGTATTGTCGTCTCCTTTACCACCAAAGAACGAAGAATGGGCTTCCAGGAAGAATCTGCTTGAAAAAGACGTCCCAGATGCTATAATCTCGGACATATGGTTATTCCGGCGCCGAGTATAAATAAACTTAAAACACACACACTTTTGTTGAAAACAAAACAACATCACATTTTCTGTAGTAATTTTTCAAGTGTTGTAAAATGAATAAGAAATTCCTCTTATGCCGCCCATTATTTTTAGAACACAACCATAAAAGTTCTTTTTTTTATTTTTCAAATAAACATTTATCACTTCAGCGCGAGCAAATATCGGTTTCAAATTAAAGTTTCGTAAGATATGTTAATGACTTCCCGATGCTCGACTGTAAGTAATTTGTATATGTATGCGGTTTTTTTTGTTTTTGTTTTTTTTTTGTTTTTGTTTTTTAATTAAAGCTTCTTATTCTTTGATATTTTTTATGTATCTCATAATCTGTATTGAAAATTTGAATTTTATTACAAATGGACTATCAAATTATGATGTATGCCCTAGAATTGAATAAACTTTCTAATTACACAATACGGGGTCATACTGATCTTGCGTCTTTCTCTGAAATACTTATTTCCTTGTTAAAACATATTTGACCACATATTTCTGTCAATTAACTGTTCACTTTACTTCCGATTTTGTTGTACGGAAACACATGTTTCTATTTGTGTTTTCTAATCAATTCGAATCTATAATCAGTTTAATGGGATCACCACCGGGTAAACGACTACTAGGTACTTTGGTCATGTTTTTTTACCACAAATATTTGAATGTTTCTATTGGGATTAAAATGAGCATAGTTAACTAAACAACTGTTTGTATAAATTCCTGACCTGTCTAATTCTAATTATGAGATTAGTGAATATATAAGACTTTCACTACAAAATATTCCTAAACAAAAGAGCACATGTTTAAATTTATTCCTATACAAATAAAAGATCAGAGTAGGGATCTGTCAATTACCAAAGATACTTTTATGTTAAAAGTTTGATTAATGAATTATGTAAGATGAAAATATAAGTATTGCTTTTTTTATTTTGCTAATGTAAAATGTAATATTGTGCTGGGATTTTGTCGGAGGTCCTTAGGGGTTTGTAGTTAAATAGTTTTTTTTCGGCGATAATGGTTAAAGAATAAAATGTTTTTAAACTATATGTTCATCACCATCAGTGAATTTTTAGTTAAATGTATGCAAAATATTTACTAAACAGCTATATGATTTAGCGGTTTATGAGCGTTTTCCGCGTACAGCCTCCTGGGGTGTACAAATAAGTTAGTTTTCCTTAGTTATCACGCAAGCATGATCCATGTCTCTGATGTAAGCGACAGTTTACAATTATTTGTCTTTAAAAAATATTAAGGACTATTAATAGTTTATAACAACAAAAGCACATGCATGATATTGAGAATACGTAGTTGCAACGTTCTAGTTAATGACCCGTCATAAACAGTTGGTCGCTGCGTAGTAATTGGAAAATTGTTATCAAAAATAATAAAGAATATTTGCCACTGAATTAAAGCATTTACTTATAAATTTTCATTTATGCTTTTTGTTAAAAAAATATGGATAAAGTTATTATTTTGAAGGGTTTTCATACCAGAACTATTTAATACAGACGTACGTAATATGCCTAAACCTGATTACCGCGGCAGTATGACGTCACGGAGTAGTGATTTAAACAAAAATCAAGAATTTTTCAGAGAATTATTATCTTTACAAATTGCAGATATGAAATTAAAGAATGAAAATATTTTCATATTGTAAATGTCTGTGATGAGTGATGAGTCAGCTTAGAAAAAATCAAAGTACTATTTTTTGACCTGATTACCGTGGCAGTATGACGTCACGGAGTAGTGATTTAAACAAAAATCAAGAATTTTTCAGAGAATTATTATCTTTACAAATTGCAGATATGAAATTAAAGAATGAAAATATTTTCATATTGTAAATGTCTGTGATGAGTGATGAGTCAGCTTAGAAAAAATCAAGGTACTATTTTTTTACCTGATTACCGCGGCAGTAAGATTTGACAGACAGTTATTAACATTGGGTCGGCATAGCCTCCCCAAAAACACAGTCTATGACTTAACTTATTTAATTATTTGCCAACCGGTTTCTCTTATGATCATCAAGGCAAATGTGATGTCGTCGCATAGTAACGACGCACTTTTGTGCACACATAAATACATCCACACCAATAAATATATATGATCATTTAATGCACAAATCAGTGAAAATTCAATAATTTAACCTTCAAGGTCATAAAAGGGCCAAGGTCAATTTAAGTTTGATAAACATGAAGGTCTTGTCCTGGAGAATGTTCTGTTATAATATGAAGTCAATCCATTCAAAAATAGTAAAGTTACAGCAAGTTACAGCAAAAAAAATTAAAATTTCAATAATTTGACCTTCAAAATCAAGGTCATTTATAAGGTCATGGTCTGGCCACTTATTTTAAAGGGCTTCCTTGAAGATTATTATGTTTAAGTTTGAAGATAATCAATTCAAAAATAACAAAGTTACAGCCAATAATAGCAAGAACAAACAAAATTTGGACATTTGACCTTGAAGGTCAAGGTCATTTATGGATGAAGGTCAAGGTTAGTGTGGTCTACTGAAAGGTCTTGTCCCAAGGGTTGTTGTGGCCAAGTATGAAGATAATACACCAAGAACTAAAAAAGTAATGATCCAGGTACAAGTTTGCGAACGGCAACGGCAATGCAGCCATGACTATAACAATACCTTTACTCTTTAAAAAAAAAAAAGTCGAGCTAAAAAAAAGAAAACAAGAAATATTACATAAACAAATACGTATGACAACTATAAAAATTATGAATTCAGCTATCTCCAAAATTTCAAAATGTATTTTAGGCCATTACCTATACTCTACAATGTATTCTGGGTAATATTGGTTTTTATCAAACACACAATATATAGTTGGATTGAGTATATTATTAACAGTAGAATCATAATAACCCTTCCTAAAGTCATTTGTATCAATTTGTGGGGGTCTTTTTAATCCCGGTGCACCGAGACAGTATTTTCCGGTCAATACTTTAGCAACAAACATAACTTTATATCCATTATCACCCGCCGAGGCATATAAGTCAGAGTACTTTGCTGTAGTTGCAAAGTATGCACCATCCCCATATAGCGCTCCAACTCTCGACCCTGCGATGCGAAAATCAAAATTGTCAAAAGCGATTAAGTCGACAAGATCCGGTTTTGTTCCATGATATAGGTGCTGCTCGCAGGCACTGCCTTGTCCACCTTTGCTTTCCATTTCACGCTTTTTCCTGAAATATATATATATATGTTTTGATGTTGATAAATGGTCAAACTTCTCTTTACATTCTGCAAGACAAGTAATAGAAAGAACATCGAAACACGAGGCTATCTGATTTGTACGAGGGTTGTAGCCCCCGAGAATTTATCAGATTGCCTTGTGTGTTTTGATGTTCTTTCTCTTTTGTATCATAGTCAAACATAGAACACGTTCCCTGTTGTCACAATATGAAACCCCAGTAAAATAAGTAACCAATGAACAAGCATCTGAATATGATATTTCTAGCGCTTTCCCTTTCTCTGCCGTGACAATAAGTAAACCCCAGCAAAAATGAGCCAATCAATGGGCATGCTCTGGAATGCGGGTACTAATACCTGCACTCCAGTTAACGCACTATGCATGTATATGTATATGATTTAACTCTGACACATTTTCAACAGAAAGATCCCCAAACTATGATACAAACTATTCTTATTGCTTGATAGTAAAACCAGGGTCTTGCATGAATGTGATGAGCTTACAAAAGCAAATCAATGCAAGAGTTATTGGTCTTGCTCAGTGACTAACCACTATGACCATGAAGATATTTGTGAAAGTTCAAATGAATAACTTCTGTGAAAGAAAAACAAAACTTGCAAAAAACAAAACTCTCCATGAAAGTCTTTAAAAATGGCATTCAGTGAAAATTGTATATAGAGTTATAAGCCTGGTATAGGTGATCTACAATTACAAATCTTTAAGCAAGTATGAAATCATAAATGAATACCTCTATTAGTTTATCAGATATGAAGTAATAAAAAAACTTTAATTTTATGCTAAAAAACCAAGAGACAATTAAATATAACAGATGGTACCTTTTAATTCAAATGGGAAAGAACCTTCAGAAAATGTTTGTGGACAGAAAAAACCCAAAGAAAAGACCATAAAGTCTCTGAATATCTTCAACCTAAATAAATTCTTTACAAAAAATATTTGGTTTAACATCCATCCATCAATTTTGTTAAAAAGGCTTTTTTTAAATAGCAAAGTACTCACAAAGTATAATGTTCCCAGAGTAATGGATTTTGTATACGTTTAATACAGCCTATTTCACATTGACTAAGGGTATTCTTAAAATGTTTCTCAACTTCAGCAAACTCCTGTTTCTGCATGGCATCTGATGTGTCAAGTTGCACCATATCCACGTCTGTTACTTTCATTGCCTTCCAGTGCATTGGCAGACGTACTCCAGCTTGAGATTTTGCTGGTGCTTGTTTGTAGGCAGCAGTAAGCCTGAAAGTTGGAAACCTTACTATGCAAACATGTTAATACAACAGATGCTTTAGTATAGGAAGAAATAATTTATGTCTATGACAAAAGTATAGGGTGAAGCAAATCTAAACTGGTATATAGGACTAAAACTATTAAATTGCTTGAACAGAATGCACCTTTGCACCAGTATGGAGTCAGCCTGCATGCATCTTCACCTTAGTGCATTAAAGAGTTAACTCCTTATATCATTTAACAGGAATTAGGGCATTACTGCATTTAAGTGACAACATGTGCAATCTGATCAGGCTCCATACTGTTAGTAGGTTTGATATCTAAATCCCTTAAATTTAGAATGAACTGTTCCAAATTCAAAGCAGGACAGATCCATTACACAAATTCAGCAGGTTAAACGGTTAAAACTTTAGGTTTCTGGGTATCAGTGTTCTAATTATAAAATGGAAGAATCCAAGTTCACATAGAAATGTTCTGGTTATTGTAAAATGCCATCTAAGAATTATAACAATTATTTTTTAACACAGAATTTTCTCAATGATGTCTCAATAAATGAACAATTAATTTTATCAACGCTTATTTGCAAAAAATAAAAATAAAAAACAAGAGCTATCACCCAAGTGACGAATGCCCCCCGAAAAGGTTTCTAAAGCATGCAGGTATTATGAAATGAAAAGAAAATGAAAGTTACTAATTGCTTCATATTGTTCTTTGTATTATTGTACCTATAATTTCTAATTCTGATAGTGTGAACCTTCAAAATATAAGTATGACCTTGACCTTTGGAGAAGGGACGTGGTTCTTGGATGCAACAGAATGTTGTCATGAGACAGACATTTGTGCCAAGTTATTTCTAAAACCCTCAATACATGACAAAGTTACAGTCTGGACATGATTGTTGTGTAAGTTGGGACAGACAGACGGACATAACCTTTAGCAACAACACATCGTCTTGATGTGGTTGACATTTGTGCAAAGTTATTTTAAAAAATTTTATGCATGACAAAGTTACAGTCCGGACATGAATGTGTATCTTCAAACTCTTCTCGAGAGAATGAGTACCTTCAAACTATAAGTGTGACCTTGACCTTGAAGGTAGGGACATGGGTCTTAGTCGCTACATGTTGTTTTGATGTGGTAGACATTTATGCCTAGTTACTTTAAAATCATTCAATGCATTACAAAGTTACAGTCCGAACATGAATGTGTGTACCTATAAACTCTTATTGTGATAGAGTGAACTTCAAAATGGTAGTGTGACCTTGACCTTTGAGGTAGGGACATGATTATTGAACGCGACACATCGTCTCTATGTGGTAGACATTTATGCCAAGTTATCCTAAAATCCTTCGATGCATCACAAAGTTACAGCCCAGACACGATTGTGTGTACCTATTAATTCTAATTGTGATAAAGTGAAACTTCAAAATGTTAGTGTGACCTTGATCTTTGAGGTAGGGACATGATTATTGAACGCGACACATCGTCTCTATGTGGTAGACATTTATGCCAAGTTATCCCATAAAAATTGCATTTTCCCCTGTAATGTTACTATGTGCATGAAGTATCAAATTCACAATAAAAAAAACTCCAAAAAAACCTGTCCTAACTGAACTTTTATCTGTATTTGTAAATTTAAACCAAAACACTAATGATATAAATCTTTAAACAAATAAAAAGAAGATTTTTTTAACTACTACTTTAGCATTGAAGAAAGTCAAATTTCAACTTAATATTTAAGTCTATAAAGTCATTTTAGTTTTAAGGTGAGTATTGGCCTATGTCAAAATTGAGATTAGAAACTTTACACCATATAAGTGTCTGCGAAAAAAAAGTGTAACATATAACAAAATCAATGTAAAAACATTTTATAAAATTATACTTTTCAATCATGGCTTTCATTTTAGGATCTACAATCATATCTATGGTTGTTTCACCAGCCTTGTTCTTTATGTGTAAATCTGCTCCTTTCTCCAGTAATGTTATACACTATCTGTATGTTAGTCTCACTACTCCACGATCTCGAACTTTTCTGAAATATAAAAATTATTTATTTCTTGTTTTCTTTCTGGAAAGTTTCAAAGTATAATCTTATGATGCTGAAGCCACACAATCCCTCAACAACAACAAAGGCTGTGTCAGGAAGATTCCCCCCCCAC